TACGTTTTTTATTCATTCTCCTTCAATAATTGGAAGGTATACAATCATTTTAAAATATATTTTGCTATCTTCTCATTTATTTAAAAAAAAAGGTTTTTGAAACAGGGTCTCTCTTATGGCCTCTGCTATTCTGGAACTTGGTGGTATCTAGATCAGGATGGCTTCAAACTCACAGAAATCAGCTGCCTCTGACTCCTGAATGCTGGAATTAAAGCCATGCACCACTACACCCAGGCCAGGAACATTTTTAAATATTTTCAAATTAAAATAGAAATATAGCATTTCCCCTTCCCTTTCTTCTCTCCAATACCTCTCCTGGGCCTCTTTCCCCATTCTCTCTTTAAATCCTGATCTTTTTTGGCCAATGATTGCTATTGTGACATATGTATATGTATATATATAATATATGTGTATATATACACACACACATATACATGTATATGTGTGTGTGTATATATATATACATGTATATGTGTGTGTGTATATGTATGTATATATGTGTGTGTGTATACACACATGTATATGTGTATATATATGTATGTGTGTATATATATATCCATCCCCAGGACTGATCACTTAATACTGGATAATAATTTGGGGAACTTAGAAGACTATTTCTCCTGCTTTTAGCATTTAGTTGCCTGTAGTTTTTCGTCTATGTGTGGAACCCTGTGGGATTGCTCACTTCCATGTTGATATGACTATTGGTATACCTCTTCAGGTCTCGCTTAGGCAGTCATATCGTTGAGTATGGTGGATGAAGCTTCCCTATCATTTCCATGAGACACACACTGCAGATGATCCTAGTGCTCTGACACTTACACTCTTTTTACTCACTCTTCCAGGATTCTGTAGGTATAGGAGTTGTGTTATAGATGTATCCACTGGGTGTGTACACCCCCAGATCACTTGTTTTACCCTTTGTAGTTTTCTATACTGCTCTCTGTTGCAAAGAGAAGTTTCTTTGATGAGGTGTGAGAACCACACTTACCCGTGTGTAGAGAGAAAGTATTTTAAGTTCAGATAGGAACTGTGCTGGCAGAATGAATGGCAGGAGGAGGCACTCCTCTAAGATCTGTGACCTCACTGACCCCATGTAGTTGACTAGGTTTCCACTACCAGTCGAGACTTCAATCCTTATGACTTCAGAGAAGCAAATAACAACTTGGTCTTGCATTCAACCCCAACTGGCAGAAAACAACAGAAAACTATGTATAGTTCTGAGTTACGGATTCCTTATCTAGATAAAATGCAGGGCAAGTGTGAAGGTGTTAAAAATATATCACCAAGCTGGTGGAAAAACAACAACAACAAAGTATGTTGTTGCCAGTATTCTTCCTAAATCATTTGAGGGTGTGTTTCAGAGAAGTTGGGTGTGGGGATGAATTTGTGTAATATGGAGGTTGGAGAGACTGAGGTTCAAGGTCAACCTCAGCTACATAGCAAGTTCAAAGCCTGCCCAGTCCACCTATGACACTATCATTTAAAAAGTACTTATAATGTAGCAAAACCATGCCCCTCTCCACAATGAGAGGAACGCCATACACTCAGGAAAAAATAATTCTCATTAATAATAGCATGAGCTCAGTGCCTTCCTAATGCTGGAATCCTTTAATAGAGTTCCTCATGTTATGGTGACTCCTCCCAACCATAAAGTTATTTTCATTGCTCCTTCAAAGCTGTAATTTTGCTAGTTATGAATCTTAATATAAATATCTGATATGTAGGAGGATATCTGATCTGAAAGCCCTGTAAAAGGGTCATTGGACCTTCCCCCCACCAAAGGGGTCATGACCCATTGATCGAGAATTGCTGGTCTAGCTACTGTCCAAAGAGGAACAGCCACGGATAGAAATTTTTACTAACTTGTATACATACATACCTTAGGCTTATGCATTCCATATATGCTGTCATTCATAAACCTCTCTTGGGTACTGTCCCTAATTTATTCTTTGAACAATTTAAACAGAGGCAAGAGACTGCGAGCCTGGCCACTTCGGCAGATGGTAGATCATACAGCCAGAATCTAAGTGTTACTCTTTTTCAAGTAGTTGTTACCCAGGGTCATCTTGCCCACTTAGCAGCTTACCTTTTTCTCCAGAAGAGAACTGGGGCTTTATGACAGGCCAGAACTTACTGAGGGTTGCCATCCTATGCTGTCCCATGGAGTTTCCAGCGGGAGGCTTGTTCTCAGGTAGAGAAATGGGGATAAAGTCAGCATTGTCTCCTTTTGTTATGAGAATGGATCCTAATGGCTAGTTAGCAGATTACATACTTTTGGGGTATTTTGGAGGCTTAAGCTAAATTCAGCTTTGTGTGACTTTGCTAATCCCCTAAGCAAATCTACTGGTAACATCCTTTGTAATATCAATTCGATCTCTTCCAGTCTCTTCAACAGGAACAGAACCATAAGAAGTGGATTAAAAATATAAAGCTTGAAGATGCAGATGCTGGAGCAGAACAGAATCAAAACTGAAACTGCTAAGTCTTAAAAGCTGTGGGCGGGGGAGTAGTTATTATAAATTTAATCCAGAATGCTAAGAAAATGTTAGAAGTGAGCTATCTATGCTATTTTAATAAAACTCAAAAGCATATCACTGTTAGCTGGAGTAAAGAAGCAATAGCTTGTTTTCTTCAAATTAATACATGGGAAAGCTGTCATCTCAACTTTGATAATTTCATCTAGATTTGAACCTGTTTTTTTTTTTAAATATGAAGATGGTGAAATACATTTCAAGAAGATTAAGGAACCATATTATTATTTATTTACCTATAATTGTATATAGATAAGTCTATGTACACACACACACACACACACACGACTGAAGTTATTCCACCTACACTGACAGTAATCCCCACAAGAACCATAAACTACCTAGCAAAATTCCCAATGTCAGGCATGAGGAACCCACTTCTAGTTGCTCAGATCAGTCTAAGAAACCCCCAAACAATGCAGGTCATTTGCTGTTGCTCTTGGTCTCCTCTTACAGGTTGAAGATAAAGTCCCTATTGCTGATAACAAGCAGTTCAGGCACAAGACTTGGAAGACCCGAACTGGATCTGACCTGAAAGCCTGCTTTCTGAGGACTAGTGTTCATGGTATTAGATAAATGATATTATACAATTTGTAGATAAATGAATGGAGCTAGAAAAAAAAATCCTGAGCAAGGCAAGACCCAGAAAGACAAACATGGTGTGCACTCACTTATTAGTGGATATTAGCAGTTAAGTAAAGGATAATCATACTATGATCCATAGATCCAGAGAGGCTAAGTAACAAGGAGGGCTCTAGGGGCATACATGGGTCTCCCTAGAAAAAGGAACTGGAATAGATGTTGCTGGTGGACTGGCTGTAGGTGGGCACGGGAACAAGTGCGATCTGGTAGAGGAAGGAGGGAGAGAGTACAGAGAGAGATGACAGGAATAGAGGGCCATTTAGGTGGCCATGTGGAAACCTAGTGCAGTGAAGACTTACTGGAACCTATGAAGGTGACGCGAGCAAGGACTCCGAGGAATGCAGGATACAGAGCCTGAACCAGCCCTCTTCTGTAACAAAGCAAGACTTCCAGTGGTGGGACGAGGGCACCAACAGAGCCACAGAACCTTCTATATACAACCTGCCCTGCCTGCAAGATGTAGACTCAGATGAAGGGGCGATGAAGACTCAGAGCTTGTGAAAGTAGTCAACCAATGACTGGTCTAACTTGAAGCCCAAGCTAGGAGAGGGATCCCATGCCTGGATGGCCAAAAGCCAGAAGCTCGATAGTTGCAGAGTCCTAGGATAGAGCCAAACATGACTGACAAAAACAAAACAAACAAACAAAAAAGGCAATTAAATGATTCCTAATGATTATCTGTTATACTCATATATTGGTGCCTAGCTCAATCACTGTCAGACGTTTCCTCTAGTAGCTGATGGGTGCAGATGCAGAGACCCACCCCTAAGCATTAGGTAGAGCTTGGGGAATCCCTTAGAAGAGGGCGATTTTAGAAGCCAGGGGAGTCAAGGATGCCAGGAGAACATAGCCCACAGAACCAACTAAGCAGGGCTCATGGGGGCCCACAGAGACTGAAGCAGTAATCCTGGAGCCTGGCTGGGTCTTGGCTAGGTGCTCTGCACACATGCTGTGCTTGTTTTACTTGGGGTTTTTGTGGGATTCCTTTGTGTGGAAGTTCAGCTGTCTCTGACTCTTTCGCCTACTCACGGTACTTTTCCGCTACTACTCGGTTGTCTTTTCCAGCCTTGGTATGAGGTTTTGTGCCTGGTCTTACTTGCTTTTGTTATGCTATGTTTGGTTTAAATTTGAGATTTTTTTTTTAAACAAACAATTCAGTGCCTTGAGTTCGGGCAGGATGTTCAAAAGAAACTAAGAAGCCCAAGACAAGCAATGCTATGAAATCAATAGGTGTACAGGAAAAAAGAGCAGAAACCACAAAAGATGAAGTTTCCGAGTCTGAATGAAAAGAGACTGTCAGTGTTCTCAGTTATGCTGGGAGGACCCTGCAGGGTGTAATAGGCTTCTCCACAGCAGGGTGGAGCAGCTCTGATAGACTGGGCTCAGAACTACCTTGCAGAAGCCCCTTTATTGTTATACAAGTCACTTTTAACAAGTCAGTTTCCGCATACCTAAACCTCATCTCTGATCTAGGGGTTGTCTGAAGGAAACAGTCACCTAAGCAATTCTCAGCCATACAAGGCTTCCCCTGTTTGCCAGGTTATGTCTAGGGACTATGGTATCTCTACGTAGTGGGCTTTTATCTAGACAAAGTTGGTCAGCTGATTTCACAACATTGCTCGTCTTGGGCTTCTTAGTTTCTTTTGAACATCGTAGAGGAACTCAAGGCACTGAATTATTTAAAACAAAAAAACAAACAAACAAACAAACCTCAAGATTTAAACCGAACTCGAATAATCTGCAAAGCAAAGAAAGGGTTAAAGTTATCTTCCTCAAGTCTAAGAAAAGAGGAACAACTCTTAAGAAAAAGTCAACGGGGTACACAGTCATTGCTGAGGAAGACAGAGGAACTAGCAGACGCATAAGAGTGGCTCCTGGTGGGCAGCACGTACTTGAACAAACAGACTCGCCATCCATAGACGTGTTCCAGAACTTACAGAAGCGCCCACGATTGATCCCAGACGGTGAGCAGTTGCTTCTGCTCTTTGCAGTGTAGCTTATGACTTACGACCTCAGCTGGAGGCTGAGACTGGAGAGCACGCTCTCATTGCTGTCCTTCGGTCCAGCTGCCCTAGACCGCTCTCATGTGCACTGTGTCTATTAATGACCCAAAGTGAGAGTGCCGAGAAGAGAAGGTGCTATTTATGTGAAGCGAGC